TGCTGGGGGGGCTCGAAATCGACACCCCTCACGCAGATCCGCGGGGTCAGGGTCCAAAAACACAGGGGATTTGCCACATTTCTGAAATTCGGTGCCACCCCTCACGCAGATCCGCGGGGTCAGGGTCCAAAAACACATGGGATTTGCCACATTTCTGAAATTCGGTGCCACCCCTCACGCAGATCCGCGGGGTCAGGGTCCAAAAACACATGGGATTTGCCACATTTCTGAAATTCGGTGCCACCCCTCACGCAGATCCGCGGGGTCAGGGTCCAAAAACACAAGGGATTTGCCACATTTCTGAAATTCGGTGCCACCCCTCACGCAGATCCGCGGGGTCAGGGTCCAAAAACACAGGGATTTGCCACATTTCTGAAATTCGGTGCCACCCCTCACGCAGATCCGCGGGGTCAGGGTCCAAAAACACAGGGGATTTGCCACATTTCTGAAATTCGGTGCCACCCCTCACGCAGATCCGCGGGGTCAGGGTCCAAAAACACAGGGGATTTGCCACATTTCTGAAATTCGGTGCCACCCTTCACGCACATCCATCGCAAGGCGTGGTAACCCAAACTGCGAGAACTCCCTCGGCCCTTTAATCGCAAGGTGTGGTAACCAAGCCCGTAAACCATACACGTCTTACCAATCGCCAGGTGTGGTAACCCCTCTTGTGATCAGTTGGTTTTGCTGATTGCGAATCGGCTTCGCATGAAGTTTCGATACTGCTTCACGACAGCGCCAAGGCCTCATGACTTAGCTCTTCCGTGGCCCATTCTCCGAGAGAGGGGGCCGGCGGCAGGGGGCGAAGCCCTTACGGATTTACATACTCAAAAAAACGCAAAACAAATTAAACAAATCGCCCCCAGGGAAAAAATCGTCCCCAGCCCAGGGACATGCCCGACTTAACCGGAGGCCCCTGAAGAGTGTCCAGAAACGTCCCCGGGCCTCCGAAGACCCCGCCGACGGTGACCTCGACGACGACGACTCGGGCCAGACGAGCGGAGGGGGCTGGCCAAGGGCGGGTCAGCGAACCAGCTCATGAGGCGCACACTTCGGGGGGAACGCAAGGGGGGGGGGGGGATCGCAAAGGGCAGGGTAGAGAACCAACTCGCGCAGCTGATTCTCCGAGCGCCTCCCGGCGCTGGGAGGCGCCCATGTCTCGAGCAATGGGCCCGGCGGCGGGGCCGAAACCAGCTGCGTGCAGCAGATGTCGTATCCTCCCCTATTCCCCCTACTTTCGCTCGGCCCGAATGTTCCCCGGCGCCTCCCAGGTCGGAGGGGGCAGTGCATCGAGGGAAGGCGCCCGGCGGCGGGACCGAAGCAATCTGCATGCAGCAAATTTTGTACCACCCCCTTTCCCCCTCCTCCTCCTCCTCCTCCTCCTCCCTCCCTCCTCCTCCTCCCTCCTCCCTCCTCCTCCTCCTCCTCCCTCCTCCCTCCTCGCTTCTCGCTCCTCGCTCCTCGCTCCTCCGCCTCCTCCTCCTCCTTCCTCCTCCTCCTCCTCCCTCCCGAAGCACTCCGAGACGCCCCCGGCGGAGACCTGGGCCGCTCGCGCCGTGCTTCCCCCTCTCCCCTCCCCGCCCCTCCCGCCCTCTTCGGGCGGAGTGCTGCTGCTTACCTTCAGGGGGATTATCGACGAAAATGAAAATCATGAACGATACCAGAGAACAACCCCAATCAGAATTTGGGGGAGGGCTATGGGGCTTTAGGGCTTTAGGGCTATGGGGCTATGGGGCTATAGGGCGATGTGGCCATAGGGATATAGGGCTAGAAGCCTTTAGGGCTATGGGGCTACAGGGCTACAGGGTTATAGGGCTATAGGGCTAAGGGCTATAAAGCTATTCGGGCTATATACGGCTATAGGGCTTTAGGACCATAGGACCATAGGACCATAGGGCTATAGGGCTATAGGGCTATAGGGCTATGGGGCTATGGGGCTATGGGGCTATGGGGCTATTGGGCTATTGGGCTATTGGGCTATAGGGCTATCGGAGGTGAGGGGGTGAGATCGAAGTGGAACGGCGAGCCCCCCACCGGGAAATCGGTTTCGGTTTCGTGTTCGTGCGTGCCGTGCGTGCGAGGCGAAGCTGCGTGGGCGGGCGAGAAAAAGTCTCCTGTGGCTGAGGCGCGGCCGGACCAAATGTTTCTCTTCCGGGGCGCGGGGCCCCGCGGTGTCCCGCCGGTGTCCCGCGGTGTCCTCCTGTGGCTGAGGCGCGGCCGGACCAAATGGTTCTCATCCAGGGCGCGGGGCCCCGCGGTGTCCCGCTGGTGTCCCGCGGTGTCCCGCGGTGTCCCGCGGTGTCCCGCGGTGTCCCGCGGTGTCCCGCCGGTGTCCCGCGGTGTCCCGCGAGGATGATGATGAGATGATGATGATGATGATGATGATGATGATGATGATGATGATGATGATGATGATGAAGATGATGACGATGATGATGATAATGAGATGATGATCATGATGGTGTCCCGATGAAGATGATGATGATGTTGATGATGGTTTCGATGATGATGATAGTGTCCCGATGATGAGGATGATGATGCTCATGATGATTATGTTGATGATGATGACGATGATGATGATGATGTTGGTGATGATGATGTTTATGGAAATGGTGTCCCGGAGATAATGATGTTGATGATGATGATGTTGATGATGATTATGGTGTCCCGATGATGATGCTGATGATGATGATGATTGTGATGATGATGATGATGTTGGTGATGATGATTTTGATGGAAATGGTGTCCCGGAGATAATGATGTTGATGATGACGATGATGTTGATGATGATTATGGTGTCCCGATGATGATGCTGATGATGATGATGGTGATGATGATGATGGTGATGCTGATGGTGTCCCGATTATGATAATAATGATAATGACGATGTTGATGATGATGTTGCTCATGATGATGGTGCCCCAATGATGATGATGTTGCTGATGATGATGATGTCGATGATGATGATGCGATGATCATGATGATGATGGTGTCCCGAGGATGATGACGATGTTGATGATATGGTTGATGATGATAACGATGGTGATCATGACGGTGTCCCGATTATGATGATGATTCTGATGATGCTGCTGATGAAGATGACGATGACTGTGTCCCGATGATGATGATGTTGATGATGAGATGATGAGGGTTGTGATGATGATGATGTTGTCCCGATGATGATGCTGACGTTGATGATGATGATGTTTCTGATGATGATGATGATGATGATGATGATGATGATGATGATGATGATGATGAGAATGATGATGATGATGATGATGATGATGATGATGATGATGATGATGATGACGGTGCCCTCATGATGACGACGATGTTGGTGATGATGTTGATGTTGATGATGTTGTTGATGATGATGATGATGATGATGACATTGATTGTGAGAGCGATTGTGATATCGATAGTGAGATCGATATTGAGACCGAATGTGAGATCGATTGTGTGATCGATTGTGAGATCGATTGTGAGATCAATTGTGAGATCGATCGCATGAGATAGATCGAGTGAGATCGATTGTGAGATCGATCGAGTGAGATCGATCGAGCGAGAACGATAGTGAGATCGATACTGAGATCGATAGTGAGACCGATCGAGTGAGACGTTGGTTCCCCCCCCCCGAACCTCCTTATCACCCGAAGGGTGGTCGTATAGGTACGGCTATAGGGCTATAGGGTTATAGTGCTATAGGGATATATGGCGATTGGGCTATTGGGCTATAGGGATATGGGGCTATTGGGCTAGGCACCCCCGGGCACTTCTGGGCACCCCGGGCACCCGGGCACCCCTGGGCACCCGGGCACCCCCGGGCACGGCACCCGGGCACCCGGCCCCGGCCACCGAAATCGGCCGCTCACCTCACCTCAGCTTTATATCCGCTAGGACCCCTACAGAGGCAAGCTCTGATTGGGGAAATACTACGAAATGGTAAACAATACTGAAAACATAATCCCCTGACATTTTTTTCCCAACCATCCTGTGGTGTTGGGTCCTCGTTTTGAAGAGACGGTGGCCCGCGTCCCTCCTCTCCTCCTCCTCCCCCTCCTTCCTCCCCCCTCCCATCGTCATCATCATGACACACCCCTCACACGTTTCGTGGCCCCATAGGGAGCTCCACCTAAGGCCCCAGTGGCGCAGTTCGCATGGCGGCGCCGCCCCACTTTGGCACACCCCTCACACGTTTCGTGGCCCCACAGGGAGCTCAACCTACGGTCCCAGTGGTGCAGTTCGCATGGCGGCGCCGCCCCACTTTGGCACACCCCTCACACGTTTCGTGGCCCCACAGGGAGCTCAACCTACGGTCCCAGTGGCGCAGTTCGCATGGCGGCGCCGCCCCACTTTGGCACACCCCTCACACGTTTCGTGGCCCCACAGGGAGCTCAACCTACGGTCCCAGTGGCGCAGTTCGCATGGCGGCGCCGCCCCACTTCGGCACACCCCTCACACGTTTCGTGGCCCCATCGGGAATTTCCCCTGCTGCGTCCCGCCTGCCCGGCGACACTCGCACTTGCATATGGTTGGGCCCTTCGCTAGGATAATTTATTACTATTTTTGAGTATTCCCCCTGTAAAGGGACAGGCCCGACTTAATGCTTACCCTCGCGCGCCACCTGCGCAGAGCTTGCAGGTGGTGCGCGGCCAAGGCTCAGTGACACTTTCCTCGTTCGACGAGCGCGTTCCACTACTCGCGAAGGAACTACTCGCAAATGGCCTGCATCCGCCGCGGGGATCTACGATTCGTCTCACCGAAGCAAACAGATGTCTCTCGGACGCTTGCGAGTAGGCACTTTGCGAGTAGGGGAACGCGCTCGGTGACTCGTATGCATGTGCACGTCTCCCGCCGATGTGCCGTCCGGGCGTGGCTCTTTGCTGATTGTTGTCTGTTGTTTCCATGCCCTTCCGTCCGACCCGAGCGGCGGCGGCGACAGCGGCAGCGTCGGCGACAGCGGCGGCGGCACGGAGGCTGCCGCGGGGGCGCGCGACCCCCGGCAGCGCGGGCATGCCGGCCATCGCCCCAGGAGGCATCGGAGCTCCGCACCTGGCGACTCCGCCGCCGCCACCGATGACGACGACAACGACGACAGCGACGACGACGACGACGACGACGACGACGACGACGACGACCGCGACGGCGACGACGACGACTACGACCCTGACGACGGCGGCGACCCTGAAGATGACGGCGACGGCGACGGTGACGATGACGCCCCTGACGACGACAACGACGACGACGACGACGACCCTGACGACGACGACCGTGACGGCGACGGAGGCCGCCAAGTCCTCTGATTGAGGTCCTGGAAGCCCCCGACGAGCCTCCAGGAAAAACGCCGCAGGCGTCCGGAGCCCTCCGAAGCCCTCCGAAGGCCTCGGCGACGACAACGACGACGACGACGATGACGGCGACGACGGCTGAGAACGACAATGGCGTCGGCGACGATCGTATCCAAGGGCGAGTGGCGCAGCCGTCGGCGTCATTGCCGAGTGAGGCGATTGCACCAGGGTTTGGGAGGCTCCTCTAAGGTTTTTCGAGGGTACTCGGTGGCTTTCGCAAGCATGTGGGGCTCATGTCCAGGTTGTCGCCGTCGTCGTCGTATTCGACGTCTTCGACGTCGTCGCCGTCGCCGTCGTCGTCGTCGTCGCCGTCGTCGTCGTCGGTGTCGCCATCGTCATGGCCGCCGCCGCGGCCACCGCCGTCGTCGCCTTAGCAATAATCCTCGCCGTCGGCTTCCCATGTTCTTATTTGTGATGCTTACAGGCTGCACCTTTTTGAATGATAAGCTTTGTGAAGAGGTGTCCTGAATTTCGGGGCGTTCTCGGCGGGCCGAGCCTGCCCAGAGGCCTGCCCAAAGGAAGGGGGAAACGAAAAGGCAATTGTCCGAAGGTCGGGGGCCCTGGTCGTGGCTCCTTTATGCCTTGTTCGCCAGGTCGGTTCGCTTTGCCATCCGTTGGCGATTCAAGCTCCTCCGTGATTCTCCTAAAAAGAACCTTACGCTGAATTGATATTCAGTGTCGGAAGTCAAAGGCACAGCATTATTCTGCTCAAGTGGCTCAAACATCACGCATTCAGCGTCAAGCATTCCGCATACCTTACACATCCCATTTTCTCTTGTTTCCCATCGCATCTTCTTGACTCTCAACTTGTTTGCAAAACACGCAAGAAAAAGACGACATGCCTACTCCTGCATCCGCTGCCGGACGCAGAGAGGAGGCAAGAACCAATAGTCCTTTGCATCAGATGGATGGTGTCGACATTAAGTCAGTTATCCAACCGCGCGTTCTTGATCTGGATTCCATTGACGAAAATAGCTGTTCCAAAAATTCGATTGCCGCCCGCACAACTTCCGCATCCAGAGGCGGTGGCAATGGGAGCCATGAGTACCATGCTCCAGGAGTACCTCGCACCTGTCATGAATATGTCCAGGGCGGGCGTTGGGATACGATTTCAAAGAATTCGAAAAAGCAATGGAAACCAACATCCAGGAATAACATTTCCACATGGCGAAAATCGAAGACGGCATCGAAACCATACAATAAAAAATGCGTTCATATTGTACGCTGGCACACATCGACAACCGCCCCGAGGAGTTCCAGAAAGGGATGGAATCACGCTGAGTATCTACCGCACCGAAGTCTACTGGAGCGTCTTCGGAAACTGGGGTACATACCGGATCAACGCTTGTGATTGGTGGGCGGCCGCGAAACACAATGGCCGAAGCCGAATTAAGGGTAACAAGCATACAGACAGCTGCAAAACGCCCAAAGCCTGCGAAGACGTACAAGAAAGGCGCTCCCGAGGAAGGCTTCAAAGGCTTGCTGTTCTCCGAGTTCTGTTCTCAAGACGAAGCGCAAGAAACTCTCCCTGTACTTCAACACACTTGTGGCAAATAGAAGCCGGAAGAAGAGATCCGCAGTGCGTGGTAAAACGTGGATACTCCAGTTGAGCAGATGGAGGCCACTTCATCATGCATATTTTACGCTTGTAAGAACCACGGGCGAAACAAGCACAAGTGTATGGTTTCCATTGGTATGTGGTTGCGCCATCTGGAGCTCAAGGAGAATGACAAGCCTACACTGGGGTCCGCTTCACAATATCTGAACAAATATGGCAACGAATCCTCTTACAAACAAATATCAGACAGACTCGCTTGGCTGACGATCCGGACGTTGGGAGGCGCTTTCGGTGTTTCTGTGTTTACGTGCCGCCCAACCCGAAGCCCACGCCAGAGAAACTGAAATTCTACTCCAGGTTCGACAAAGAATACAAGACATGCCTCGCAAACGCTGGACACATTATTTTCAAAGACTTGAACGCGAAAATGGGGCGCCAATGCAGCGGGGAAGATAATCAGAGCGAGGGGGCCGAACAGTAATTCATTGTCCCTGGGTGCGTGGCTGGACTGGGAATCCGTGGTGAAAGCTCTGCTTGTTGCGTCGTTGTTGTTGAACTCTCACTACTGAAAAATAATCATTGTTGATCCCCCCCCTCCGGAGCACATTGTTACCTAACAGCGAAAACTGATAGGCTTCTAATGAGGTCAACAAAAAAATCTCGACTCAGGATCCGGGGAGCAGCCGATCGGGCAGAACCCGACGAGGGCCGGGCTCGTTTTAAGCAAACAAATACACACTTCGTGGTCTTCGAATCCCCAGAACTCCATTCCCGGGCCACATTTTGAATGCCCGGAACCAACTGTAGGCCACTTCGTGCTCTTCGAGCCCCCAGAACTCCATTCCCCAGCCACATTTTGAATGCCCGGAGCCAACTGTAGGCCACTTCGTGCTCCTCGAGTTCTCAGAATTCCATTCCTGGGCCACATTTTGAATGCCCGGAGCCAACACTTCGTGCTCTTCGAGCTCCCAGAACTCGACTCCCGGGCCAAATTTTGAATGCCCGGAGCCAACTGTAAGCCACTTCGTGCTCTTCGAAACCCCAGAACTCCGCTCCAGGGCCACATTTTGAATGCCCGGAGCCACCTGTAAGCCACTTGTGTTCTTCGAGGTTCAAGAATTCCATTACCGGGCTACATTCTGAATGCTGATGCTGAAGCTGAGGATGCTGAGGCTGAAGCTGAGGCAGGCTGAGGCTGAGGCTGAGGCTGGCTGAGGCTGAGGCAGGCTGAGGCTTGGGCAGGCTGAGGCTGAGGCAGGCTGAGGCTGAGGCGGAGGCTGAGGCTGAAGCTGAGGCTGAAACAGGCTGAGGCTGAGGCAGGCTGAGGCTGAGGCCGAGGCTGAAGGCAGACTGAGGCTGAGGCTGAAACAGGCTGAGGCTGCGGCTGAGGCAGGCTGAGGCTGAGGCTGAGGCAGGCTGATGCTGAGGCAGGCTGAGGCTGAGGCTGAGGCAGGCTGAGGGTGAGGCAGGCTGAGGCTGAGGCTGAGGCTGAGGCAGACGCTGAGGCAGGCTGATGCTGAGGCAGGCTGAGGTTGAAGCTGAGGCTGATGCAGGCTGAGGCTGAGGCAGGCTGAGGCTGAGGCCGAGGCTGACGGCAGACTGAACACATATACATATACATGTACATGCACGTACACATATACATATACGTGACTGGTCGCCTGTGCCTTGTACCTGTGACTGGCTCCCTGTGCGGCCCCCTGCACGGCTCCCTGTGCAACCAGTCACAGACACAGGCAACTGCTGCTGCTACTGGTGCCGCTGCTGCTACTACCATCCTCCTCCTCCTCCTCCTCCTCCTCCTCATCATCATCATCATCATCATCATCATCATCATCATCATCATCCCGTAGCCCTCTTGGCTAGATCCCTGCTTTCGAAGATTTCCTTTCCAAGGAACTGCGCAGCGCCTACTGCGCACCTTAATGCCAAGACATGCTGGTCGTTCTCAGTCTAGCGGCGGTGCTCCTCAGCCTGCTGCATTGAACAGCGGTGCTCCTCAGCCTGCTGCATTGAACAGCGGTGCTCCTCAGCCTGCTGCATTGAACAGCGGTGCTCCTGAGCGTGCTGCATTGAGCGGTCCTCTGCAAGAGATTCGTCGAGAACGTGGGGCAGTTCGGCCGGATACCGAAGCGAAAGAAAGGAACGTCCGAACAAGAACGGGCCGAAAACAAGTTGGTCAAACGTTTCTCGGACCATTGCGACAGCATCCCCAAAGACGTTTTGCAGGAATTGCGAGCCCTTGACGGTGCTTTGTCCTCAGAGTCGCGCGCCGCGCAAGAGGTCGTGAATGCGATTCGGGAGCTCGGCCGGATACCAAAGCAAAACGAAGGAACATCCGAAGACGAGCGGGCCGAAAACAACTTGGCTAAACGTTTCCCAATCCACCGGGACAGCATCCCCAAAGACGTGTTGCATGAATTGCGGGCCCTTGGCGGTGCTTCTCAGCCTGCTGACGACGAGCAGCTCGTCGCGGAGGCCAGTGACCCTGAGTATTTGCTTCCAGAAGTAGATCCCGCAGCACTGCGCGCAAAAAGCGCTGCTCTTATACAAGCAGCTAAAGAGCTCGGCTATTATCCCAAGGTTAGCAGAGACATCGTGTGCTGGTCCAAGTTGTGGGACGACATCGGGCAGCAGGGGCCCGCGGTGGAAAATCTATTGAAGGATGCGTTGTACTTCGGAAGCCTGGCGCATCACATGAAAAGGCCGACCGCCGAGCCTCGGCGTCGCGAGCACCGGCTGGCACAGAGAATCGCTGCTCACAAGCCACGGATATCGGATGCCTTCTGGGAGCTCACAGAAATGCATTGTGCAGATGTAGTCGCCGTCAATGGCGTGGACGAAGATGAACTTTGCTTTGCATGTGACAGAATTATGAAAGACAGTCCGAGCACAGTGCGCAGCTTGAGTTTCAATCGTGATTCAGAGGACGGCAAGATTCATGCTCCCACAACTACGAAGTTGGCGCTGCTAGCCAAGGCTTGCCTTAATCTGATTGAATTCAGAGTGGAAGGCGCTCTCTTCGATGGAAGGAGCCTACATTATGCTGTCAAAGCAATTGCACGAGCTTGCCCTCAATTGTTGCGACTAGACCGTGGGGACAACGACGTCAATGATGGCGCACTGCAAATTGTGAGTCAAGCCTG